GGGGGAGAGAGAGGGGGTGGGGAGAGAGAGAGAGAGAGAGAGAGAGAGAAAGAGAGAGAGAGAGAGAGAGAGAGAGAGAGACAGAGAGCGGCGGCGCAAGCGGCGATAAGGTCGCCGACGTGCGTAACGGGGGCAAAAACGAAAAAGTCGGTGTCCACGCGCGGCGCCGAGACGAAGATGAAAAACGAAGCGAGCAAGGGGGAAAGCCTCGGGAGCGACAATAAACAAGCGGAGGGGACGGATGGGGCTTGTGAAACGTCGCGGCGGATCGACGGCGCCACGAGCAGGGGGTTATCGGGAGGAGCGTAGGATCGGCGCCGATAATGCAGAAAGGAGGCAAGAGGCTTGGCCGAGACGAGGCGGCTTTTCTAATAGAGTCCGACGCCGCGGCCGACGCCACTCGTCGTGGGTCGTCGTCGTGACTCATTGTTTTGCGGTGCATTTTTTTCGCGCGATGCTCGCGCACACCGGCGCCCGGTCCCGCGACATTCGATGGACGGGAAGCCGCGGTAGCTGATTCGTGCGCGGGGCTTTTTGCCCGTTAGCCCCGTGGGAATAGCCGAGCGGCTCTTAGAGCTTCGGTTCTCTGGGGATACGTAGGGGGGATTGCTTACGACCAATGGGGAGTGCCTGGGGAATCGTTCATGAAAGTGCGAATGGTAATTAATGGTTTTCCTCGGCGTTATGAATAAATAATGAGTATCGAGTGGATGGTACGTACGGGCTACATAACATTATGAGGAATAAATTGAAGAAATCGGGGGAACTTGTAATGCAGATATACTCCTTTTCATTCTTGCGTGCTCTCTTCTTTTTATTACTACGCTTGATTTGGCCGCTAATAATCACAGCGAGTTACGTGAAATTTTTATTAGCAAACTTTGGTCGAAATTAAATGACAAATCGTATTGAGGGATTAATTAATGTACCTGATCGATGACGATCAATGATGAAAGATGCACTGACAACGTCTATTTCCATGATCTTAGCCAATTATTTGAAATCATGAATAACGAAATTATGAATAAAAGAGTCTGAGAAGTGATAAACAAGATTTTCAAATACCATCTCGATAATTTGAAATTAATCTAGCATAAAGCTGTTACGAATTTATCGAAACTATTATCGTTTTAAATGGCGCGTAATTGACAATCGAGGTAAAATGAGCAATGTCAAAATTGTCGATCATTTGTTTACGTAGCTCGTTGCATTATATAATAATAATGGTCTTCGTCAAATATTGTCGAGCGAAACTATTAATGCGTAGTGTCAGTGACGGCAAATTTCAATGCGTAAAACAGTTGTCTGAAATTGTCGTATTTAAGTTGCGCAAGTATGCAAGACTGCGTCCGTAAGTTTCAACTTGTCCTGCAATAAAGTAAGAGTAAATTGTGTGGGAGTGCGAGGAGAGAATGAGGAGGAGAGAATTAAATAACCCCTTTCCATATTTTTAGTCATTGTCACAAAAGTCCTTGTAAAATTTGTGCGAATACAGTGTTGTGGGAACAACTCATCGCAAAACTTAATGTACGTCGTAGGAGCGACTGATGATTGAAAAATTCTCACCTCGCAAACAACATTTAAACAACGGTTTGAAAATAATTTCAAAGTCTCGAGCGTGCGAACACGACCGATGACAACGGATCCGGAAAAGGGCCGTAGACAATGCGCTGCTCGTCTTCGCAGCCGAACAAAGGCGCAGATTTAGCTTCGCGAATGGCGCGATTAAACGACCGATGCGAGAGTTAGCGCGCGGAAGCCGTGGAGGAGAAGGAAGAGATGCGAGCGCTTAGAAAGGGGAAAACACCCGGGACCCAAATGGGCGGGCACGGGACGAGGGCAACGCGAGTGCCGAAGCGGGGAATGAGAAATTTGGGAGGGGGCGAGCGCCAAGGGGCTGATTATCGGGTGTCCGTTTATTTCCTCCTTTGATTGATTACCGGGAGTCACGCTCCCGGTGAATGCGTGCGCGCCCGTCCTTACGTCACGGCTCGCGAGAGTCGCGACGCTTCCAACTCTGGGGCCCGACGCCCGCCAATTGCATCAGTTGAGAGAAATCGGCCGCACTCAATTGAGCGCCAGTGCTGATAACGGGGCCGGGCTCGCGCCTGCGTCGCCATTCCTCGCTCCATTCGACGACGGCCTCTTTCTCGACGTCAGCGGCTAATTTCTTCTTTGGTCCCGTCGAGTCGACCCAACCATCCTTTCAGCCAGGCTATCAGACCGATTCACCACCACGCTTATCGCTATTGTAAGGATACGCGCGAGCTGCTGATTATTTGCAACGAGCTTACGCCAATGCGTCGATCTTCGTGCTACGGTACGAAGGTGCTTACATTTTTTGGTTACATTAGTCGATAAAAGCCTAGGTTAATGACTAATGCAATATGTACTTATTCTTACGATCTAATTGCGGTAAATCATGGAACTAGACGACAAGTCGGCTTGTAATTGCACAATGTACCGCGCAATAACGAACGATAAGCAATTTTGTCTTTTGAGACAATCGACAAGGCAAGTTTTTTTTACAGGTACGTTGAAATTCATTTAATATTAAATTGTATTACAAAGATAAACGATCGATAATTTACTGTCAAATTTTTTAGTATTGAATTTTATTTGAACTGTAATCGATGCAGATTACTTTAATAATAAGATAGTTAATAAATAAGTTTAATATTATCGAACGATAAATCTTTAATGTTGACTCGACATTCTTATGAAATTTCTATGGACTGTACGTTGAGTGTAAAACAATATGTTGAATCGGTTTAATTATGGAATATTCACGTATATGTTATTGTAAAATAAACTAAATAAAGAACCTATTCGCGTTCGATTAAAAGAAAAGGAAACTATATATTTTATAAATTGTAAACATTATTTTGGAAGCTGAAATCGGTCACTCAAAAGTATATTAGTCGAAAGTTATATGAAAACTATAATATTAGCGTACTTTCTTCTCCTTTTTTTTTTATTTACTAAGATTTTTACACAAAAGTTTCGCATAGTAATATTAAGGATGTTCAAAGTACTATAAATGGAGGCAAACGATACCCTATTTCTACAATTTTTTAAATAAAATTTTATAGTCTGATTCTAATTTCTTTTTCCCTCCTTCTTTTTTATACAATAATCAATAATTTTACAGTATTCTATGAAGCTGCACTAATATTCATTAAATTTCCAAATATATATACTTTATATACAAATCTAATTATATAATAATTCTAAAAACATATATGAATTTGTTCGAAGATCATGGAATTAAATAAATTCCGCCAATTAAAAGAATCCATGAATCTTGTATTAAATGTTAATATTTATCATTAATCTAATTTTATAAATTTTTAAAGGCTAAGCTAAATGGTGAAATGTCTGTCAGTAATTAATCTTAATTCTGATTAAATTAATTATTTAAATATTTTAATTATTATTATATTTATATCAATCATTGCATGTTTTTAATGCTATAATGACTATGAATCTCTTAAATATTACTTTTATAATAATAAAAATAACACATAAAATTTAATATTATAACTGTTCTAAGTTTTCTATGTGCTATTTAATGTAGTTATTTCTGCAGAGCGACAGAGAAATGATGACAGAGAAATGAGTTTTCAATGTAACAACGAGTGCATATGCAAATGAATTTATACTTGTATCCGTATAATCAATCGTTATTCGTAAGATAACATATTTATCATTTGCTATTATCAATTTGAAACATAAAAAATATATGAAAAATCAAAATAATTGAATAATTTGAAATACTCATGCAGCTTTAATTCCTTTGTTTTTTTTTTTTAAGAATAAGTGAAGGTTGAATATCTCAAATAAATTTTTGTAAGATTATCTAAAATACGTCACATACTAAATTGTAACAAACATCTCTAATGCTTTTATTTGCTTATTTGTGTTTTTATTCGTAAATAATTTTAAATTTCAATTTAAAATAAATTTACACTTCTACAGGCTAAATATGAACGACAAATAAGTCTTCTAAAGAAAAACGTACTGTATCGAAGCATTATAAAGACAACATTAATTAATGTTTTTATTCGTTTGTATTTTTAGAAAATTCCAGCTGTATATACACACCCATGGATGCCTGTATATGACAAATGGACGTATATATGACTTTGGTAAACAATATAATCTAAAAAAAATAATAATAACTTTACACTCTGGTTTACGTAATGTCGAGCGTTACGAGGACGATGCTGCTAGTTTGCATTATTATAAGAGGAACTCGAAGTCAGTTGTTGTGACAATTGGCGTCGCTTGCCAAAAAGCTCGTACCAATGGCAAATGTGTCGATCGTATTAGAAATAATAAAAGTACAGCGCAATAGCATAATATAAAGGTCGCGCCGTCTCCCTCCCGTTAAAGTGGTGCAAGAAAATTTAACAAACCGTCATCGGTCATGCCAGCGGAACTGCGCAGCAAAGTTGAAACGTCGCGCAAGGCCGCGTAGCCTTATAACCAACGAGGAGTAAATCCCCAGTGGTGCAATTGTCGTTGATATTGTGATCGTACCTTGTAGGTAAATGCGAAGAACGTCGGGCACCCCGTGGACGGTGCAGCGGGTGTTGGCGACGAGCTCCGGCTTCAGTGTACTTATCCGATTGGCGCTCACGTCGACCCAGCACAAGCCCGGGAAGCCCCGGAAATCACGCTCCGAGAGGATCACAAGGCGATTGTGCGAGGCGTTCAGCTCCTCCAGGGATGGCAGCCACGTCTGCGGACACGCGCAATCAATATCGCTTTCCGCTTACGCTCGTGTCGGCATTATTCTCGACTCGCTCAAGGGGGTATCTCTTTTCATTTAACTCGCTTAGCGCTTGGCACAGCCAATGCCGTTACGATTGGCTTGGAAAAGCCATTCGATACTCTTGGGTGTAAGGCGTAGCTGCGCCGATAGCGTATCTTGCTTAACGCGGCCTCTGTCGTTTTCTCTCGAGGCCTTCAGGCTCGCGTCGCTCGATTAAGAATTTTTAATGAAACCTACGTGCCCGTGAATTTTGGAACTCACCTCCGCCAATGTCAGATCGTAAAACAGCCAGGAACAACAGATTCTTTTTATTTAAAAACTCGAACAAGTATTAATTAGAATATTAATATTGGCCTTGACGCGATAAATGTGACGACGAGATGACGAAGAAAACTATATAAATTAACATCTACGAGCATGCATTATCAGAGATATAAAGAAAGAAGCGAAGGCTTGGCGGATGAATTCCAATTTGCCTCGATGAAGAATCGACGCGATCGCATCGGCGTACTTTGCGAGCGAGAAAATCTTAAGAGAGTGTAAGCGAATGGAGAAAGTAGCCCCTTGATCTTAGCTCGTGCTTTCGCTTACCTCAGACGTATCCTCGAGCGTCGTAAGCTCGTTGTGGGAGAGATCGAGGACGCGCAGGCTATCGAGACCCCGCAGATCCCTGAGTCCTATCGTCGGGCCCAGGGCATTGTGGCTGAGGTTGAGCCTCTGGAGCTCCTTCATACCGACAAAGATCGAGCCCTCGAGGTTCTGAAGCTCATTGTTCTGTAAACGCATATCCTGGATACTGGCCCCGGCCGTCTCATCTCCCTCCTCCTCCACGAGGTTCTGCAATACCACCAGGGGGGAAAGGATCGTTCGCTTAAAATACAAGTATATGCAAAAATCTCTGGACGCTTAATGTGATCGCTTGATCCACTGGTAGAAAAAAGGCAGGGGTCCTCAGGGTTTCTCTGCAAAGTTTCATAGTTGACTAATGATTGTTGCAGTTAATGGGTATTTATATTGTGCATATTATTTGGAAAAGTAAGTTTTCTCAATATCCTAACGAATCCTTAATTATCATAAGCGAATGTGTTTCTATTAGTGAATCATCTATTAGAGCTTATGAATTATTGACGTAATGGAAATCACCCCAAGTAATCATTAATTAATTAATCGTTAAAAATGGCTATTTACAAATATCGAATAACTTTTTAATGTTATCTTCTTATGGGGTTTAAATTATTTTAATATACAATATTAAACGACATTCGATAAATTCAAGACTTCCACGAATAGGTAATGTGTACTATTTATTTTGGAATTTTAAATAAAAATAAAAGGAAAAATTCTAATGGGCAGCAATAATATATTAATAATTATAAAAAAAAACATCTTTTATTTATCGACCAATAGTTCCAATTACATATACGCTTACATTACGTACAAAAATGAAACGAATATTATATAACCGAATAAATGTATTATATCATTTAATAATGAAATTCGTTTAAGAAATTGAAAAATAAACGAAATAGTAAAATTCAACAAACGTGTGTGTGTGTGTGTGTGTGTGTGTGTGTGTGTGTGTGTTTGTGTTTGTGTTTGGGGGGGGGGCTATTTTGAGTGAAAAGCAGTCATACAATCATACATTCGCGTTTCATATTACTTCGAAATTTTATGTGTATACGGGCCACTTTTTATTAAATGTATAATGAAATTGCAAGAAAGATCTATATATTTTATTTTTAATCATATCGAAGTAGTCTCCCTCTCTATTAAGTTTCAAAAGGATAAGTATAACAATTATGATAAAACTTCTATCAGGATTCAGCCAGTAGCCATATACACATCTTTATTAAAATAACGTATTAAAAATCGATAAAAATCGATTAATATTTCTTACTTTACTATATAAATTAATTAAAAGTGAATTCTAATTTGAATATATATATATATATATATATATAGATATCGTTCAATTTTAGTCAACTTTAATCTGTTAGTTTATGAGGGAATTATCTTATTTCATGCCACAGACCTTCTTGTTTTATGGAATTGAAACGAAGACGATGAGCCGTATAGAAATTAATTTACATTAATTTTGAAAGCCAATTTTTTAATTATAATTCAGTTAGTTTATCATAAAAATTGTAATAATTAATGAGCAATCGATAGTTCGAAGGCAAATCAGCGGTAATTATTTAACTACAATACTCAAACTGACGGATACATTATATTAGAGGGTATTTTTTTATTCATATTCACCAATCATTCATTTAACGCCCACATCGAACATTTGACTTCGGAATTTAACATTTGCAATATTGATAAAAGCGCGGATCTGCTTTGGGGACACTTTTCGGGATCATTTTTCTACCAGAGGTGCAATAAAAGCATAAAATCAACTCACCTCGGTTGGCGATCTACCGCGCAAAAGTCTGCTAATCTTATTGCTCGAAAGATCGAGTAAGCGCAGCTCGCGCAATCCGCGTATGGAGGCGAAGGAGAACTCGCGCAGATCGTTGTGGGTGAGGTTTAAGCACTTCAACGATTTCAGGGGATAAAGGGCGCTGTTGGTGCTGCCGGTGCCGTCGACATTGACGTTCCCGTCGCCGCCGAGCGACCTCAACGAATTGTGACCGAGTTCCAAATCTTCCAGCATCTCAGCCTCGACGAAGTCCTCCTCGGTCAACTGCAGGCAGTTATTTTTACAATTTGTTGTCTTCATTATTCTTTTATCGCGTTGGTGGCTCAAAGAAACGACGATTAAAACTAAAACTAAAACTATCAGCTACAGAATGTAGCTTAATTTTAATGTATGATAATCTGAAATAATAGTTTGTCGGTTATATGGACAAGACGATACACAATTGTGCTCAATTTGACAAGGCTTACGCAGCTACGCGAATAGAGGGCCTCGCATTTTATTAGGAACGTGACGATTATTTATTTAAAAGGTCGATCGTGTTGTCCAGCTACCAACCGATTGTAAAACGTAAATTCGCTGTATGAATCAGAGGTCCTGAGACGGCAAAATGTTCATTCGGGACCAGTGATGGTGAGCCGAAGATTATTAAGGAATGGGAGATGGAGAAAAGAATAGGTGGCGTATACGTTATATTGTCCAGTTTTTCTTTTCCTCTGTGCACAGAATCCAAAATTAGACTGAACTATACTGTCATCGGCCTTAATTGACAGTTGCGCAATGCAAACTGCTTACCGATCTATGTATGCTTGACATTACTTGGCGTAGGAAAAATCTTTGGCAAAAACTGAAATATCGAGCAAAAGAGTTCATTCTTTTGGTTTATATTATTTTTTTGTTATCGTGTATAAATTATTCTTAAAGTAATGCGGACACTTGGACAGCGAAGGTGTGATTTCTTGTTTTTGCTACCTTGTAGTGACGTGTCGTTAAATCGATGCTTTATACATAATACCTGGGAGTTAAAAATCAAAAGATACTGGATTGATTGTAAAATGGATGTGTAAATGTCTTGGTAATGTTGAATAAGCCCTTACGAATTACTCGCAAAATAACATTCTGCGCGCTTAAAAAAGACTTTAATTAGGATAAAAATGTATCGCAAGAATAAGATAAAAAAAGCACCAGTGTTAAAGGATAATCCTGAAATGCAGATTTATCCGTGGAAATAAAAGTAAGAGTAAAATTAGCTGTGTTTTAATGTTAAAGCATTAGTATTCGGCATTAATATTTTGCTGTGTAATTTCTTAATACATCCAGCGCGTACATAATACACACATAATTAGACACAACTATCGCAGAAATGTAATTCGTAATTGCTGAATGAAGTATTTCCGTTATTTGCATATTCTTATTTTATTGTCTATGTATAGTGAAGTTTATCTTAACCCAATTAATATCTTTTATATTTTAAAACTCACTCGATACTTCTAAAAAATATCTTGCACTTATCACTTCAAATTCACGTATTTTTTTTTAAATTACCATAAACATTCGTTATTGAATAAAGAATAAAATTTAATAATGATAAAGACTTTGCATTCAATCTTGGCATAAGAGAAAACAAGTGAATTGCATAAGTAATAAATAAAATAAGAAATTCGCCAGCAATTATCAAATGTAATCTGCGTGCGAGGGTGTATGCGCTCGCGCGCGCGTGTTAAAATTTTGGATAATGTACTTTCAATAACCGTCGCTTTAACAATTAATTTACTTTATTCGGTATAACAAACTAATATTTTATACGTTCTATCAATAAATAAGTAAGACTTTTTATTTATATATTCGAATATGACTGATATTCACAAAAATTTCATTAATCACTTGAATGTAACTATAAACAAGAGTTTCATAAAAGTTTTTTTTATTTTTTTTGTGAAGAATATAATTATTATTCGAGTGAATAATTTATAAATAAACCATTTCTCAATTATTACTTCAAAAATTTGACTTCGATATTTTACAACTTTCTTCATTATATTCCGGCAACTAATTAAAAATAAAAAAACTTTTCAAACTTATTTTTCCGTTTAAGTAATAGAGAACTTTTATTATTACTTTTATTCCTTTCTCCTTTCCCCCCCTTCTCACTCTCTCTCTCTCTCTCTCTCTCTCTCTCTCTCTCTCTCTCTATTCCCATATATTTATCTATATATCTATCTATCTATTTGTTGCGTAATTTATCGTTAAACGATACAGTTTTGTACATTGATATAGATTTTGATGATGATTTTTGTTTTTTTTTCGAATATTAAATAAAATAATATAAACCATCGAGAATAAGATCAATATGTAAGGATGAATATTTAATGTAGCAGTCTTGGCGATATTATGAAGATAGAAAATCAGGCAATGAAAAAAATTTTAAAAATTAAAAATTTTAAATGTAATCGAGCAACTGCTGAAATATTAAGCCATAAGCTTCTATTGATAAATTTGTACTAATAAATTGCATAATTTGTTCGTTGTCTTGGGAAAATCTAGTAGGGCAAATTAGAGGGGCGGGAAGGGGGTGGGGTGGAGAAAACGGATCCCAGAGACAGGACAAAGCCAAATTTAGCAAATTTGGGGATCCCAATGAACGAGCAACTCTCCACATAAGCATCGCCATTATATTCCCTCCTAAGCCCAATCGAGGCATGTAATCGGCTTATAATCATCGCGGGCAACGCCGAGGCCGATAAGGCACAATCGCTGGCTCGCTCGGTTGGACGGTCGGCTGCTCGCGCGGCTCGAATTCACTCGACGAAAGAAGTTGTACGAGTATGCACACGAGCTCACGCGTCAAGCGGAGGAAGCCCGGCAACGAGCGCGACTTAATCCAATAAAGCAGCCGGCGGCTGCTGGCGCGCGCCGACGGAAACACTCCATTCGGTAATTACGAATTACGTTTCTGCGATAATTGCGCTTAATGCAGGCCACGCACCGCGCACGCGAGGGAATTCGTCGTTTTATTGCTGTCTCGCGTCTCTCTCAGTCACCGCCGCCAGCAATGGCTAGATGAGGATGAGCTTTTGTCGCGAAGGACAACTCGATGTTACGAGCTTCCTCGGCTTTGGCGCACATTTTTTCTGACATTAGTCGAGCTTTATAGAGCGGCGGCGTCAGCGTCGGCGGCGGCAATGACAGTAGACAACGAGTCGGTTAGGGGACGCAAGGCGAGGTAATTTCTTTCCTAGCAAATTGCGAAACAATGCTATTCACGGGGCTCGAGCGATGGGTCATACCTGCAAAATGAAAATTATGCGCGGAGATTTATTTTAGCCTCGAAAGCTCTTTTAAACTTATCACGTGTTTTGAAAATAGATCAGTATGTGTGCCCATAGATAATGTTACGATAAAGTAGATTCAAGCGATAGGGTAAAGTAGAAGAATTAAGTCACAATGATTAGTCGATGTCAAGAATTAACTATTGACATCGGCACTCAACTTAAATAGCTATTATTTCATTTATCAAAAAGACATATAATTTCTACTATAATTATTACTCCATATTAATCGCTATTGGATCGTTAACTATGGCTGTAACCGTAACACAATCGTATTACAATGTATATAGCGTTACGTTTGCTAAGACCGCGCTCTCGTAAGTATCGGGGAATAATTTTTTGTTCTCGCGTGCGCTTATTTACGCACATGTTTATTGAAATGTAAATTATTGGCAGCTTCTCGCCGAATTCGAGTAAATAATCAATGTGTGTAAAGTGGTATCTCAATGAACGCGTCTGTCGATAATTGTACACGACTAATATAAATTGGCAAATACTTTGGTGCGTAATTATTGGATTCGAAGGTCGCAATTTGCGCTTATTAAACCAGCGTGGCCCCTCCCTCCCGTCACGGCTAATCTAATGTAATAAGTTAAGTAATCAGAAATTGGCACGTAACGTATTATTCCGAGAGAGCCCCGCGCCGAAGGATCGTCGCTATCCCCGGACGAAGAGACGGAGCGAGCGACGGACACGAGCATTTTTCCATTATATCCAACGGCCACCTTGGGATTGGGGTTGAAGGATGGACGGGGAAGGGATAGGGCATACAATAAAAGGAGCAATCTACGGTTGTCGCATTAGACTCACCACTTGCAGGTCATTGTAAGAGAGCTCGAGGAACTTGAGCCTACGCGCCTTCTGTAGCGTGCCGTCGAGGCTGCCGATTTTGTTGTGCTGCAAAAAGAGCGACTCGAGACGATGGAGAAACCGAAATTCCGTGGGCAAGTGAGTCAGCTTATTGTCTGCGGCGTAGAGCATCTTCAAATTGTGTCCCGAGGACGGCAGCTCGCCGTCCAGAGACGTCAGCTCGTTCGCGTTTATCAACAGCCACTCGAGCTGATTCAAGTGCCTGGAACGAGCGAAAAGTCGAGAGTTGTAGAGAGAGAGTAGCGGGCGGCTACCGGGTCAACGGAAATTTTGGGGATGTTTGAATTTAATGATCGAGCTGAATCTTGGACTCCGCGGCTAAGGGGACCGATTTATGATCATATGCTCGCTGAGGGTGAGATAGCGCGCGCGCGTCTCATTTATGGGCTTTTATTTTTAATTAAGCCCCTCTTTCTCCGCTCTATTGCATACTCACTTTTCTTACTCCATGTTTATTTAAGTTGAAGGCTGTACTTTAGTGGGCCATGCACAAGCCTTCGGTGATTTCTGCGTCACGTGACAGCGGCGACATTACTTTGTGCCACTGAATTTTAGTATAATGTTTGCATCGTTCCGTGGCTCACGAGTGATTAAAAATACCATTATTGTTCGTTCGTATTGCAAAGCGTGAACTCTTCTGCGGAAACACATAGATCTTGGGTTCATCTCGCGGCGCGCATGTGTGAAACAGTGCTAATTAAAAGAGTATTGCGTACGTCATGCATTAAATGAAGTACAATGAATAATCGCAATAATTAGTATTACGAGTTTTCGTTGATATGTAAGGCTATTTAACAAGGTATTGTTGTTTTGTGTGCGTGTGTGTGCGCGCGCGCGCCCGACCGCGTTCAAGTATGCGCTTCATTAAACTGGCCTATGTAAGCTTTAACCTTGGAGTAAATGAATACTTTCTGCTTTTATACGTAATTATGTGATATAATGCCGCTCGTTTTCGAGATGTACTCAATTGGCGAAAGGTCATTTATGGGAAAGATGGATAACTTACCTTAGAGTACGATTTAAACTCATCAAATGATTTCTGCCTACGTGAAGGTGCTTGACCAGAGGAGGCAGCGAACCGGGCACCATTTCCGCTATCGAATTTCCCGCCATCAAAAGATATTGCAAGGTCGGATTGTACTGTAAGCAAATGTTATATTCCATTTTGAATTTGCGTAATTGATAATTTAAAAAAATGATAATGCTAGTTCGATAAATTAGCAAATTTAAGATGTTATTACTACTTTGAACTCGATGTCAAAATTAGGTAATATTCAATTTCAAATTAATAAATTTTGATGAATATAATTAAATAATATACTATTATTTGTATTTAAATAAACACATAAAATTTGTATCTCTTGCTTTAAATAGTTTTTCGTCAATACAATACTTTTAAAATACATTCAATACAAATATTAATATTAATATTAATTAATTAATTAATTATTAATATTAATTAATTATTAATAAATTAATACAAATACAAATACAAATTTTCTTGACGGTAAATTATAACTTTATAGTGAAAAAAATTATTTCTTTTAGAATACATTTGTAAAATATCCTTTTCTTGCAATATTGAGAGCTCTCTATTAATAATTAAAATAGCTCCATTCTTGGTCTGGACCAAAAAACATTCTGAAAATTTTCTTATACTTTTCAAATGAAATACGCTGCTTACATCTGTACATAAAACTTCTTAATTTTTCTTCCAATTCAAAATGCATTAAATAACTTATTAAAAAATTATACACAACAACAAAAGGAATAAAAATTTTAATACATTCAAACTAAACTTTTGAGCCAAATAGAACAGTTTCTAATTACTTCATTAAACAAAAAACTAATTAAGATTTATTATATTTACATTTAAGATAAGTGCAATGAAAAAGTTTCTCTTTTAAAAAATGTTTTTGATAAATCAGCCATTTTTATACTTAAAATGTTAATAAAATTCATCAATTATTGACTAAATTTAAAATGTATCTATCGACGCAGTAACATTAAATTTATTACCAGTTGAATTATAAAGAATAAAACTTAATTTTTATAAGAAGTTACATCGTCTTTTAACAAAATATGTGCTTTTACTTGAAATAACAGTAATTATACAATGTTATTTAATAAATTCGTAAAAAAACATAAATTGAATCATACGAAAATAATTTTTTCTTTTATAAAAATAATTTTAACTTTAAATGCCAATTATTTGTAATGTGTAGATATTCTATTTTCGTTTTCTTTAAAACAATAAATAAATATTTCTCTAAATATTAGATAAAGTAACTAAGTATAGATCGTTTTAATTAAAATTCTGTAATTTTTTTATCAGAAAGCTTTTCCAACCATAAAAAGAATTTCGGACAACATATACAAGTAAGAGAATTTTATTTTATTTTATTAAAAGAAAAATATTCGCATTAAAAAAAAAAAGAACACTATTTTCGTTAATAATATTATCGTAAAAAGAAAATTACTCATTATACATTTTCTCTCACATAATGATTAATATATTTCTGACAAAAGATACAAATACTATGTTGATAAATATTCTACATTCTATATTCTTCTTTCATGTGTCTAAAAGAAAAAAAACCTACTAATATATTACACTGTGATTTAACATTATTTTATATAAATAATATATAAATATAGATAAAAATTGTAGTTAAAATAATAATTTAATTTTTTTTTATATTAATAAAAAAAAGTACATATTACGTATTTAGTTTTAAAAATTTATAAAAAATCTGAATGTAATTCCTATTTCACTGATAATAATTTCATTAGATATAAATACTGTAGATTAATAATATTTTTAAATAATACCAATTATAATTAACTGTAATATTTTACTAATTAGTATTGTCTTACTGAAACTATAAAAAATTTATCATATTCAATGTTTTTCTATATCTACATTAATAATAATATTTTCAATTAAGTTTATTAAACAGCAACATATTTATTAAACAACATATTAGCATTGCCTTGTAAATATATTACTAATATTTAATAAGATATACAATTAAATATCATACTGATATTCATGCCATTTAGATTGTAGTTTTTGCATTTAAAATAATATTTTATACCATTCTGAATATTTAAGAGGAATTATTACAATTCTTATTTAAAATTTTCAATTTAAAACACAAATGACTAAAGTTTTGTTTACCAACTTAATAATTTTTTTTATAAAATTCGATTAGTTATTAAATAAACAAGTAATTATAATCTAAAATACAATGTACTTTAAATTATCTTAACAATAATTATCTAGGAAATTAATAATCTTTCTAATAAATTTTGTTTCAAATTGATAATTTTACGGTTACTGGATTTATCATATTAATATTGCTAACCACAATTGCAATAAATAAATAAATAATTTTTTATTTAATTATAACCAAAATGAAAAGAAATTACATAGTCTTATAATTAAAGAATTTTAATAAAATGACTATTCATTAGCTTATAACTCATCTTTCTAAAACAATAACACAACTTTTTACATAATATACAAATAAATTCTTAAACTCATAAAATAATTACCCGAAAAAAAAATATATTAAATATATATGTTAATGAATAACCTATTTATAACGTTAATATTGCAAAATTGTGTTTTTTGTGTATATTTCAAATAATCTTATAGTGATTTTTTTATGTAAATAGTAATTCTCTAATAATAGCTGTAAAAAATATTTAATATCATAATAGTTAGTAAATTAAATAATACTATATGTAAATATAATTAATAAATAGTATTTATTAACATTGACAATAAAGTGAGCATATTTTAATATAATATAAAATAAATTTCATATTTATGTTGGTTAAAATACTAGATCGTGTTTAAATATAAAATTTTAATTATAATCCGAATTCTTATTAATAATGTAAAAACAATATTTTTCAATGAATATTAATATTTTTAAATTTATAAAATGGCTTTAATAGTTGAAATTCATTTTATCTATTTTCTTTTTATTGCAAATACAATTAAATATATTTGATTAATTACTGAATTTACCTATCTCTATCTTATTTACAAACAAAATAAATTGTCTATGTACTAAATAAACTTACTTTTATTCAGTTAAATAATAATATAATTAATATTATATATGATATAATAATGAAATAAAGGTTAGATAGAGATAGTGTAATAACATCAAATTTATACAAGTTTTGTTACATACAATATACATAAATACTATATTGAAAATACCAATACAGAAAAATTTCTTAATCTTTCAAATTATTTAATAATTGAATCATATAGAATATATATATGATATATCTGTAATCACTAATTTCTTAATGAATAACACATATTATTAAATAAGGTTAATTAATTTTATTAATTAATTTATGTATATAAGAATAATTTATATATAAATTTAAATAATTTAATATAAATTAAATTTTCTAAACAAAAAAAAACTAATATTTATGTTATTGTTAGTTGTATTATTTATAGCATATAACAAGTATTAAATAGTAAGGACTCTTTACAATTAGTAAATAATAATTAATTTATTGTTTTCTAATAATATGGTATTCTTTCTATATGTTTATTTCAACTTTTAAATTTAAGAAAAATAAAGAAAAAAGGGCAGTTTAACGAGCGGATGACTTATTAATAACCGACACAACAGATAACATAGTTTTACTGAAGTTCTTTATTAATATTTTACTAATAATAAGTATTCATGCAATTGGATTGTATATGATTTCAATATCTACGAATTATGTATTATATTGAAGTAATTGCATAAAAAAGTCTTTAGATTATTTATTGCAATTGTATAAACAGAAAAAGATGTTTAATTTAATATAATTCAAGAGCATTAAGAGCTATTTTTAATATAATATCCTAATTTTGTTATTACAACAAAAATTAATATACCCTTAAGTAAATTTATTTGAAATTATATTTTAAACATATATTATACTTTTCTATTTTCAATAAAAAAAATTAAACATGCGAACTAAATTCCATATTATATGCGACAATAATAATATTTCAATTTCACAGAACAACTAGCTTGCTTTAAAAAAAAAATCAAGAAGTCTGTATTATGATTTATACATAATTTGAAAATGTAGATTTATGAAATGAAGTTTATCTGAAGTTGAGGATATGAGTTGAAGATATTTGATTACAAATGAATATGTTGAGCAAATTTTATTTATATAAAAATTGTTTAATCAAAAAAGCTTTCCTGTGGTATTATATCCTTGCTCTCTCTTTCTCCCTTTATTTTTATGTTTCCTCGTACTTCTCTTTTTTAGTCTATTCTCATCAAAGATAAATAAACATGTGGACTGATATTTAAAAATCAAAGGCACTGGATAGTGTAAAATAAAATACAGCCGAACTGTCCCACAGGATTAAGATTAAAATGAAAAACTTTCAAACAATAGTCGTATCAAGCAAAATATTTATTTTACTTATAATTAACAAATTTTCGAAATAATAGCAATTAATTTATTAAAATACTTCGTTAATTATTAAAAAATACATGTTAAGTATCTTGTACTTGATTCATGTTTAATACTCCTTCAAATACTTTCAAATACTCCTTAATTATGAACACTGAGCTACTTAATAAATTTTAATTTTGCTTTTTAAATATGTGATAAAATATATAAAGATAAAATATAAAAATTAGTTTGCTTAAGATAATCGATAATGCCAAAAAGTTTTCATCTTTTGTTATTTACATCCACTATTGATAAGCCGAATATTATGATGAATATATATGTAAAATTATACATCTGATAATTATAGATGCTGCGGCAAAAATATTTTGCAATACATATTTCTATATCTCAATGTACTCAGATATTTTCTCAGCAATAATTTGTGATATGCATTTCATCTTTGTCAATTTTTAGCAATAAGTTTCTTTAATTTTTATAAAACTGTATGTAAACCTAATTATTGATTATATTGTTATTTAATCAAATAAGATAAAATATGTAAGAATATAAATAAATTAAAATCAAAATATATTGATTTTCAAATTGTCGAATTAAAAATTTCTAAGTAAAATTTTTTCTGAATTTGAAGTTATTCCAGTAAAATTCTTAAAGTTTATAAAATAATTTTACAATCAATATAAGGCGCATTAAAATTGACAAATCATTTAATATTATTACCACTAAAACACTTACGTATAATTGATTCATAATTTATTAAATTAATAAAGTATTTTGTGAGATAGTATGATGAATTTGTGGAAAAAAATTTTTATTATTTGTTATTTTGTCATTCAGCAAAACTTGCTTATCATCTGCAACTATATTTTCCAGAAAAAAATTAATTAATTAAATTTATATGCATAACAAAATCAGTATTAAATAAGTATTTAATAAATATGTATTGAAAATGTATTGACTACGTATAATCAAATAAATAAAGGCATAAGATACTATTCATATTAATAATGATTTTAATAATCATTAATGAAATTATAATATTGATGATTATTACGTACATGAGAAATATTTGAATTTATCGAAGTCAATAGCGAATCCAAGGAATACACTGACCCTAATTATTAAGTAATGACAAAAAAAAGTTCGTTATCTTAACAAAAAACATAGCTGATCATTTAATCATTTAATCAAGCAATGTTGAGTAATTTTGTGTAGTTCCCTCTAACCTAAAGATGTATGTCCAGCGTTTGAATATTTATGTATTATGCCTTCAATTCACGTTGATGATGAATGTTACAGATACTAATGAGGAGAAAATTTCATCAAAAATGTTGCACGTGACTGAGCACGTGCTCCATGGTCTGTTACGTGTAATTCTTCTGGTAAATAACCGTTATTTCGTTTGAAATAATTAAATACCAAGTTTTATCTGAATAGTTTCTGATTAAGTCGTTAAACCGGAAAACAATCAATTATATCTATGTCTTAACACGCTCGCTGTATCATTTTATTCTTAAGCAAATATTGCTTATTTCAAATATTATTTAAATATAGAAAATATATAACTTTTATATTTCTAACTTCTCACTCGGTGTTGGATGTATAAAAAAATGATTTTAAATATATTTTATATTTTACCTATTATACTTTTATAGCGCGCGCGCACACACACACACACACATACACACACACACATGTTATTCAATAATAGATAATAAATTTTAGCTTATTTTTATTATAGATTCTAGTAATACAATTGAGAAATTAAAAAGTCACAAAAATATTAATAATTATCTTCTTAACTTCATCTTACAATACAGAAATCAAGTTGTGTATAGCGATATATGTTCTTAAGAATTAAGAAAAATTATTTTCTGCTTTAAAACTGTTGAATGATTTTTATAATTATTCAAGGTAACATAAACACTATGTAAACATTTTTCGTTGGTGCATAGACTCTCACATACCAATTCTAAGAAAATAAACAAATAAAAAAATGCACCCTAATTTAAAGGATAAAATGAATTAAAAATATTTTTCAATGTTTTGTAGATAAAAAGATATATATGTTGAAAATGTTTCATGAAATGATCTATACAAATATGAAGTCCACAGTGTATGAAATTATAAAATAAATGTAACAACTAAAATCACATACAAAGTCTACGTCTCTTTCTATTATCGAGTTATTAATAATGGGAAAAGATCACGAAAAAATAGTACTAAAATAATAATTTAAATATTTCGTACACATGATCTCATTGAATTATTTAGGTTATACAAAAATATTTTTAAAATACTGTACTTTTATATAATTTTTAATCTATTTATTATACATTTAGATGAAACTGATAAAAAATAATTTAAAATGTGATCACACTCGCCGATATTAATGTACGTTTAGATGAAACTGATAAAAAATAGTTTAAAATGTAATCACACTGATTGACATTACTATACAATATAATTAATTAACACCAGTACATTATTTTATAATAATATCGCTACATAACAATATAATAAGTATGATTATATTATAATGCTGCTTGTTATAACTTGTAATTAAACCGTAACAACTACTGTAGATGTTTATTTTAAAATGAATATCTAAAATAAAATAAATTACATACAAGAGCTAGATAAAAGTATAGATTTAAGAAACCTTTCCTATGCTCAGTATACAGTAATAACAATAACGTAATCATAATATTTTATTTAAAAAAAAATATGTGTTATCTAGTAAAAATAGATTACAGTTATTAAAATATGAATGTAGATTAAAGTTTTTAGCTCAATCTGCTTTGTTTATGTAAGTCATGTATATTAAAAACAGTGATAATACTATATTTTACAAAAATGCATAATGGTATTAGACTATGGTTGAAAAATCTATTTTTTTTATAGCAATAGAATTGATTACCGAATGGATCATCATTTATTATTTATCATTTATTATAATTATTCTGAAAAAGTAAAAAAATACAAATTTTAATTCAAATGGTTGTTTTTAACACTAACAATGTCTTTAGAGATATCGACATTCGAGCAAAATTATATCAAGTGCAGTGGCTTAAAAAAAATCTTTTGCCAAGTGTTGATATTGAGTCGGTCATTTAAACGATAATTACCTTGAAATCATCGGCGTCAATGCGGCTGATTCGATTTCTGCTGAGGTCAAGGGTTCGCAAAAGCGACAGATGCGACAGAATATGCCTTGGTATCGCCGGTACTTCGTTGTCAGCCAAACTCAAGTATTGAGTCCTTCCCAAGCCCGCAAAAACCTCCTCGTCTAGTATTCTGAAGTTGAAAATGTAATTAATGTAATTATTAACAGGCACCAACGGAAAACAATGTCCATTAATATATAACTAATATACGGCATAATATAATTAATCAGTGGTAGATGTTGAAAGTTTTTAAGCTTCTTCTTAATCATAATTTTCGAAATTTATTATTTCATTGTTGAAATATAATGTTATCGATAAGCGCAGTATGTATTTCGTTAAAAAATATAAAGTACATATTTCTTTGTAAGTCTATGTAAGCAATTTATTATTGACCTTCTTACAATTATAACTTCGATAGCTACGATTTATTCTTAAAATATTTTGTGAGTCGAACAATCGTAATTACTGCTTTCCAAGTTAATCATTGATTCCTAGTTCCAATTTTAATTCTGACAATAACAAATACCGAATTACAATCTTGCGCTTTTCGAGGCTATAAAATTTTTTCGTGTACCCACTTGCACAATCAGGGGTTAAAGACTTTTTCTGCAAATAGAACGGAAATAATAGTTTAATATTTATCTGAATAAATACAATACATTGATGGAATGAACAAAAATAAGCGATGATAAATTCACATAATTAATTACTCGATTTATTCGAAACTTTCATTAAAATGTTCTAATTTTAATAAAGTTCTTATAAATAATTAAATGTGGAATTATTCGTTTCATTCTCTCATGCTTATTGTTAAATTGTTAATTTTTCTAAGACTGAGTATTATAAAAATTTCTTCATTACGAAGTTTCATAAAACCAAAATATATAGCAAATAGCATAAAATTACTTTTAATATCAAATGAATTGTCAAATTGTTTTTAATTTTAATTTAATTATTAATTTGTCTAATTGTTTGTCAAATTGTTATCAAATTAATTAATTAACGTCAAATTTTGCACGTTTTAAAAGAATCATTACATATTACATGATCTTTCGAACATTTAACATTTATAAAATAATCAAACTAAAGCTAATCATAAAAAATATATTTACAAGTAATATCTATAAATTATATACTATTATCTATAAATTATCTCAATTGTAATATTAATTATACCGAATAAATACGGCTTTTAAAATAAAAAAAATATCAATCGGAATATATTTTCACATGATTATATCTATTATTACAAAATATATTTTTGCTTTATACAAATATATAATAAATATGAATAAAAAATTCGAATATTAATAAGACATATTATAATATAATATGAATAACGTATTAATAATAAATCTATTCACTTATCTTAGCGAAATGCCTTTTTTATAACGAAAAATTAAGAATTCAATAAAATTAGATAAAATTTTTATTATTATTATCATAGAAATGATTGAAACCTCTATTTATATGTGTTTTTTCTATCGTACATAATTCTAATGTGCTTAATTACTTTCATAATTAAATTCAAATTGTCTATATTTCATATGCTAGAATAGTAATTAATTACAAATAAACATATAAAAAGAAAAAGAAAAAATACGTTTCCATGATAAATATAAAGGAATAGAGTTATATAAACCGTAATATGTAATTCCAATTTTACATTTTTTAATACTTTTACTTTGTAATATAATTGATATTTCAAAGTATATGTATACTTGACTACATAGATTAAAAGAAAATATGTATATATATTTATTACAATAATATTTTTAATTTGTAAAATGCATTGATAAAAATTTAATTTATTATATGCCATATATATTATATATATTATCATATATATTATATGAATATATCAGAATAAATTTTATATATTCGACTTTCGCTTTTATTCGAAATGTATTTCATTGATTGAAGAAAATACCTTGATAACTAGATGACGTAAATTTATGATCACTTAATTTGGATTTGGCAAACGTTAAAATTAATATACAATGATAGTCATGTTTTAAAGTATTATGAGAATTGAGACATTTTTAGATCACATGACAATAAAGGATACATACATATAGCTTCATATTTTCAAGTAGCGTGTTTCTCTTGCCCTATATTTTCGTGTACCTAAGATAATCTCTGTTTGCTATTGAAATTGATAATTCATTGACATGTTTAGCATTGTTTAAATTTTAATGAAAATATTAACCTCGTTAGTGTTAATTAAAGTATCTAATCGTTACATATATTCTCTCAGCTATATTTCCGCATAATAATAATAATAATAATAATAATAATAATAATAATGATAATAATAATAATAAAATGTTACGGATATTCGGTTTCATTGCAATTTATTATAATTTTATATGATTTTGTTTTTAACATATTGATGAAATAGTTAAACTACATGTATATTATTTCTTGTATATATAATTATTTTATATTATAATAAATTACATATATATATATATATATATATATATATATATGAGTGTATTCATAGATAATTTACAGGTAATATTACCTGACTTTTGCTCATATAAATATCAATTATCGTAATAAATCGGTAATATACAATTGTTAGTCATCAGACACTTAGTATGAAGTTATTACAATGATTTAATTTTTTCCGTTCTGCTAATAATTTAATTTTTAACACTAAAATAAATATCTTCCAAAATATTTGCTATATTTGTTTAACAGAATTTATAAATTTACAAAATTATATGGCAAGAAATACTATTTTTAGGTGTAAAATTTCTTAATTTACTCATAATAATGTATTAAAATTCTTTCATTATATATATATATATTTTATTTTTAAAAAGAACAGATATCCTAATGCTTTACTCGTCTAACCAATTGTACTAATCTACAAACTTTTCCATCAATTAATACCTTATTTATAATTATAATGATTATAATGGTAATAAAAATATCACGTTTGTAAACTGAACATTTACAGTGAAAAAGTGTTCTCTTCTCCTTTCGAGAACTATGCTCTAATTCATTTTGCTAATAATTAAAGGATATATGAGAAAGTACTCACATGGAACTATGAACTTTTCAATGATGATAATATATAATGATTTCAATGGTTATTACAGATGCACAGCGGAGAATGAAAAACTTTATCTGTCCTATATAGTCTATGTCTATAATTATAAGAAATTTGAAAAATCCCATCAAAATGGACAATGTTTCTTAATCAATGACATTATTATACAGCACGAAAGAATATTAAAGAATTCTCATGAGTATTCTCTCGGTATTTTAATAACTACGGTTTCAAGCTTAAATCAGCACAACTACCGTATTTCTCGAAAAACCCGTGGATAATCTCTTGTCTAGACGGCGATAATAACACCAATTTTGCATGCTCCCAGCCACTTGTGTACACGAAAATTGTTTCTAAAGATCCGAACTTTTCCATTATTATATACATAAAAAATTGTAAGCATAAATTCTACTCTTTCGGGTATTAATATTAAAATTACCTTCTAATAGATTACAAGTCTAAGCTGTGTACGTAAATACGACACTCTAGATCTCTACTTGTCTAGACAATATTAAACTGAAATACCTTAAGTTTTTATAGATTAATGATCCCACTACATATTTATACAATAACTATGATTATTAAAAGCAAACTTTATTCTATTCCATTCGTTGAAAGTAAAAGTTGATTAAATTATTATGAAACAATATTTTGTTTATTAAAAGTAACATTAAGTTATAGTAAAAGTAATATACAAATTTAAAATTTTGGTCAAATAATTTTAACGTTAATGTCCTCCCCCCCGTCCACCTCCCTCAATTTACCTGGACACGGGCGTGCATGAGTGCGTTAGTATTAAACTTATTTGCTTAATAATTGAATAATTCATAAATAAAATGAAGTATATAAAATTTTTTATATAAATTTGTAATCTATTATTAATGATAGCATAATGAATACTTTTTATTCATTGAAAGCTCCAATTTCAAATTTAAATATTCTGAATAATCTATAGAATTTAATGATGCTCGATTAATAATTGAGCGTTATTTTTATTTGAATTCTCATAATTTATTGATTTATAAGAAATTTGAAAAAAAATTCTGCTTTTCTTACTCGAAAGTGATAAATTTGTGAATATATAAAAACAAAAGTGAGCTTAACCTTCTCAATCTCTTAATTGGTTGATTCGGCGCCCCTGGCAAAATCGGATAATAAATTGTTTGGGCAAATTTATTTTTTTTTTCTTTTTTTTTTTATCGTCGAGGCCAGCCCCCAGAGATTAACGAGACGATTCAGCAATAAACACACTGAACTTTTAAGTGATGCTGCGAGAAAACCGATAAGCTTATCATCTCGAGATTCTGCTCACGTTTCAAGCTTCAGCATCGTAATCACGTTTTTCTAATATGTTATCCGTGCCATATTGCAGCAGATTATACATTTAAATAAATTTTATTTACTTTTAAATATATATTTAATGAAAAATTATGATCAAATATTAATTTATTCAATAAATTATTGAAACAGAAAGCTAAAATATTAATATCATCTTTGGGTCGTTCATTATATTTAAAAAATTTTGTCCCATACGATTCTCACGTTATTTCTAATAATTATATTTAAATTATTCAAGTTTTATTACTAATTAAATCTATATAATTATTAAGCTTAGATCAGTGATATCTAAAATCACTATAAATATTGCAGAAAAAAGAAACATTTTTAAAAAGATTTATAATTATACTTTATTAAAATTCAACGAAAATTATTAATACATTTTTAAACTATGTCAAAGTAATTTTTAATAATGAAAATATTAAAAATTTATTTATGATTAACTTTAATTGAAACTTTTCGTACTTTTCTTTTCCGTATCAAAATAAAATGTAACATAATTAATGTTAAAGTATTTTACAAAAATCTTAATACTTAAATTCTTAGGCTGACTTTTTTTATAAAATACGCAGTCTGATAAGATCAACATATACCTATTATCACTAACACTTACATAAACGTTGCCATTTTAATCTAAGGTGTAGTACTTTTTCTAAGCGTAAATAGGGCATTCGAAGAAAAAGTCAGAACACAGTTCCTTATTAAAATATTTATCTTGAAATAACTTTAGT